GCATGGCCATGTGGCTGCACAGCTAGCACCACCAAATCCCACTTTACATGGGCTTGCCGAATTTCTTAACCTTATCAGCATCACTCTGCCCTCTGCTCACCCATTCCCAGAGGCCCCTCCCTGCCCTGCCCCTTTCTCTACTACTTCATCCCTGTTGTCTCCTTTTCCCCCGCCAGCAGTTTGCTCTCCCCTCACCCACCAGGGAAGGGAGCTGCACATTTAGACTGTGTTACCCTGGAGACTTCAAGTAAGCAATTAAAATGGTCAATTGGTGGAAAAGTTAGGGATGTCTCTGCCAGAAGTCAGATTCAGCCTGACAGTAGCGTATCTATCACCACTTAACTGTTCCATAAATGATGGACAAAACATTTAGGGCCAAACCATATATTTGAAAAGAAATGGTTGAGCACAACAAAAGGCAATGGTATATTGAATTAAATGACCCCACCTTATCCCGAAAAGAAGGTAGATAGAAAGAGAACCCAATACAACAAGGGGAGATCTTACAACAATGAGGAGGCGGCGATGGAAGCCTGTGACCCTCTACCCATAGGCTATTTGGAAGCCCTTGGGGAGGACTGACAGGGAGGTCCCATGAGGCGAATCCTTCCTGTCGGAGGGAACACTCGAAGGGAAGAGGACCCTTGCCTCGGTGGTGGACGGCGCTGCTGGAGACCTTCATGGATCCTTCGAACACGTGTAGATCCACTCAGGGACACAGAGGTAAAATGTCTCTATACAGTCCATAAATCCAGTCCCTAATTAGTCCTGAGAGGTTTCCCAAGTACTCAGTGGAGACTCCGTAGATTAGGCCAGTATAGATAGTCCCTAGGCCATAAGTCCACACACCCTGGAACTTCTCACAGGACCCGAAGACGAACAAGGAGGAGAGAAGAACGACAAAGAGAGGAACCTGAGCCCTTGATCGGAGTAGGCTTTTAAAGCACTTAAGGCGGGAAAACCAGATGAGGGCACTGTGCAGCGGTTGGCTGTCTGCCAAAGACGGTTAGGGCAGAGTGCAAAGGTGTTAGGGAGGAGTGCAGAGGTATTTTAGGAGGGAAAATGCAGGCAGGACACTAAGGCGGGAAATCCTTGAACAAGAACCCAAAGATTACATTTTGTTTTACCAAACTCCATTTTGAATTTATACACGCCATGGTAAAAAGACCATCTCCTCCATACCCGGCCTCCCAATGCAGCCAGCAGCCGCTTGTGGGGAGCAGGGACACCTAGCTGGGGCACCTGCTAGGAAGAGCAGGAGGGTGTCAGGGGGGACATGGCTCCAGGCTGGAATGGGGCCAGAATGAGGGTTTCAGGGGGAGAGGAGGAGGCTAAGATGGGGTGGGGAAGAGGGTGGGCTTGTGGGCTTTAGAGTGGGGCTGGAGTGGGGTTGGAGTGTTTGGAAGGAGACTCTGGGGTGGTGAGGCTGTGGGGTTTGGCATGTGAGAGGGGGCCTCAGGTCTGGGCAAGAAGTTAGGGTGCAGAGAGGGCATTTTGGTGAGGGGGTGTATGTGTCCTAGCTGGGACAGCAGGGCTGGGGCATGAGAGGTGGTTCAGTGTTTGAGCTCTAGGTGACTCTGACTGTTGCAGGTCATTGGGGCTCAGTGGCACTGACCTGAAGTAGCCCCTTAAATAGCAGCCCTGCTGGTGTTGCTTCAGTATTTCACAGGGACAACAGAAGTTGCATGAGGTTGTGGCATCCCTGAATCCTTTCCTCCACTCAGCTTCGGCCTCAGCCCTCATGCCTATCCCCTAGAGCCAATGTCCTGCTCCTGGCCCTGGCTATTGGGGAATAGTTCGGGACTGGTGTAAAAGTGCTGTTAAGCTAAAAACTTGTGACAGGGGCTGCACTTAGACATCCACAGGCAGGGACACAGGTGTCGAATCCATGGGTGCTTCGGACCTAGAACACCCATGTGGAAAAAACAGCAGAGTGATGCTTACCACTCACTAACAACTCTCCTTCCCCTCCCCCCAATCACACATGGCAGCTGGTGGCCCTGCCAATGAACTTCTTCCCCTCCCTCCCAGCATCTCCCACGCACCAGAGAGCAGTTGTTCCGTGGCATGCAGGAGGAACAGGGAGGAGGGGGATGGGATATATTCAGGGGAGGAACTGGGTGGGAAGAAACAGGGACTCAGAATGGGCAAGGGATGAAGAGGAGGAGCCTGGGGCAGGGCAGGGCTGGGCAGAGGCCAGGCAGAGGCGGGTGACTGGGAGAAGGGGTGGAGTCAGAGGGAGAAGGGATGGAGTCAGAGGGAGGGACTTGAGGCAGAGCAGGAGGTGAGTACCCCCGGTAAAAGTTGGAAGCCAGCACCTGTGGGCCAGAACACACCAAACATAGTTACATGAATGATCTCCCAGTCACTCCTGAATCATCAATTCCAGGGCCTTGGTCAGTTCTCTGCAGTGCTACAGCCCAGGACTATACAGTCTTACACTGCTTAAGGCAAGTTCATTAAGTAGCTTGCCACGCCCTCAAGATGAAATGGACACAGAGTAGCCTTTGTAAACTGAGCTGAGTTTTCCCAAGCCACTTTAATCAAATCAGTTTCAGGTAAAATAATAAATCAGGTTCATTAATAAATAAATAATAAATCCGGTTCATTAACTACAGAAAGTTAGATTGTACGTGATTATACATGATGGGCATAAAGATCGGAGATTGCATTAAGAAATGAAACAAACACATTTTACATGCTACATTTTTACTCTAAGCAAGTGATGAAGCAAACAATGTCTCACCCTCAGAGATGGTACATGCAGGTTACAGTTTCTCAATACTCAGGCTGAGACTATCATCCAGTCAGAGACAGAGACAGAGACAGAAAGAGAGAGAGTGTCTGTATGTGTGTGTGTCTCTGTCTGTCTGCATAGAGACCATGTGCTGCTGTCACTGTTTCTCTTATATTTTCTTCCAGCTTGCTGCAAAGTTCTTTGCTGTGATGCAGTTTAGTCTGCTCCCATGGGATATGTGTCCTCTCCCAGCAGGCTCTACAATAGTGGAGGGGTAGGGGATTTAATGCAGGGGTGGGGAATTCTTTTTGGGTCAAGGGACACTCACCCACAGAAAAGCCAGTCCGAAGCCACATGTAAGTGAGAAACAAACAAACAAAAAAGACCAAAGAAAGAAAGAAAGATACCTCACTCACGCAACTCAGGGTACCAGGGTTCCCTTCACACTCCACCGTCATTAGGGGGCACGATAGCTCATGGCTTCCCCTCAGGATCAAATTAACTCTGAGAGCCTGAGGGTAAGTAGATTGTGGGTCCCCCCTAGACTCTGGGGTGGGGACGAAAATGGGTTTCAGTGTGTGGTAGAGTGCTGCCAGGGAACAGGGTGAGAGAGTGAGGATGAGGGTGCAGGGTCTGGACAGAAGGTAGGGTGCAGGAGCAGGCTGGGATTTGGGGTCTGGGAGAGAGTGAGGGAGAGTTCAGGAGTGGGCTGGTGATGGAGCATCTGGGTAGGAGGGGGTGCAAGAGTAGGGTTAGGGTGGGATACAGGAGGCAAAAGGGGGATGGGCGTGCCTACCAAGCTCAGCTGCAGGGGGGCACTGGTGGTGCCGCGCTGGCAGGCATCACTCCCACTACTTCCATTAGCCAGGATTCACAGTCAATGGGAGTTAAGGGGACTGGAGCCTGCAAGGCAGCTCAGGGGACATGTTGCAGCACAGAGCTGCTTTTTCTCTCTTCCAGGCAGAGTCCATGGGCCGGATGCAATCGGTGGCACCCTTGCCCCAGCCTGCGAGCTGCAGGTTCCCCACTCTTGCTTTAATGCCATCTGCCTACTGATGGCTATGCCTTTGTTGTTACTGAAAGGCTGATTGTAGGTGTTCCCAACCTCACAACATGGTTCAGTAACATGTATATCATTATGTTATTCTCTATATCAGGGGTGGGCAATAATTTTTTGCAAGTGGCCACTTCTGAAATTTTTGAGGTAGCTTCGGGCTGCACTGGAAGGGGCAGGGCCTCGAACAGAAGGGGCAGGACCAGGATACTTCCGGGCTTCCCCACTCACAGACCATGATTGGTCTGGGGGTGGGAGAGCGCTTTGGCCCCCTCTCCCCCAGATTTCCCCTAGGCACCCATGCCTCTGGCAATGTAAGAAGACTTCCTGCATTTCCCCGCCCCCAGGCCCATCAGAGCCTGGGGACAGGGGAGCATGGGAAGTCTCCTCCCACCCTTCCCGGGCACCCTTTGAGGGTGGGGGCAGGGCAGAGGAAACTTGGGGAGGAGGAGCATGTGAAGGGCTTGGGGAGGAGGAGCATGTGAAGGGCTTGGGGAGGAGGAGCATGTGAAGGGCTTGGGGAGGAGGAGCATGTGAAGGGCTTGGGGAGGAGGAGCATGTGAAGGGCTTGGGGAGGAGGAGCATGTGAAGGGCTTGGGGAGGAGGAGCATGTGAAGGGCTTGGGGAGGAGGAGCATGTGAAGGGCTTGGGGAGGAGGAGCATGTGAAGGGCTTGGGGAGGAGGAGCATGTGAAGGGCTTGGGGAGGAGGAGCATGTGAAGGGCTTGGGGAGGAGGAGCATGTGAAGGGCTTGGGGAGGAGGAGCATGTGAAGGGCTTGGGGAGGAGGAGCATGTGAAGGGCTTGGGGAGGAGGAGCATGTGAAGGGCTTGGGGAGGAGGAGCATGTGAAGGGCTTGGGGAGGAGGAGCATGTGAAGGGCTTGGGGAGGAGGAGCATGTGAAGGGCTTGGGGAGGAGGAGCATGTGAAGGGCTTGGGGAGGAGGAGCATGTGAAGGGCTTGGGGAGGAGGAGCATGTGAAGGGCTTGGGGAGGAGGAGCATGTGAAGGGCTTGGGGAGGAGGAGCATGTGAAGGGCTTGGGGAGGAGGAGCATGTGAAGGGCTTGGGGAGGAGGAGCATGTGAAGGGCTTGGGGAGGAGGAGCATGTGAAGGGCTTGGGGAGGAGGAGCATGTGAAGGGCTTGGGGAGGAGGAGCATGTGAAGGGCTTGGGGAGGAGGAGCATGTGAAGGGCTTGGGGAGGAGGAGCATGTGAAGGGCTTGGGGAGGAGGAGCATGTGAAGGGCTTGGGGAGGAGGAGCATGTGAAGTCTCCTCCCACCCTGCCAGGAGCCCACAGTGGTTCTAAGGGCCACATTTTCCTGGCAGGGTGGAGGAAACTTTGTATGCTTCCCCCTGCCCCCAGGCCCTAATTGGCTTGGGGATGGGGGAGAGTCAGGGCCTTCCCAGGCCGGATCAACCCGCTTGGTGGGCCAGCTCCAGCCCTTGGAGGCCCTTTTGCCCACCCCTGCTCTATATAATGCCTTCAGAACTTCATATATAATGATCGTACATACAGTCCAACAGGTTATTATTGTTCAACAGATCAAGACTGATACAGAACCACGACATATTTTGTACAAAACGTGTCATAATTATATGACCACAGTGAATATGGGGGATCCCAGGATGCTACTGTGAGATAGTGTCACTGATTTGATGTGAAACAAAATCTTTTTCAACACTTTTGCTTTGCCAGTGAACCAAAAATATCCATTTTTTTTCAGCCAGCTCTATTAGGTGCTCTTTATCTGGCCGAGTTTTGGAATTGAAACTGTAAAATCATCTCGAATCATGGTTTAATTTCACTTTTACAATCTTCATGTGAAACAAAAATGAAGTACTCTTTGAAATTAACCATATTTGTAGGCCTATTTCACCATCTCAAAAATGTGTTTCAGTATCAGTGCTGGTTATTGTGTAATAATGGTACAGCAATTACACAATATTTCATTAATGAGACTAAACATACCACAACTTCTTCACCAATACATTTTATTCCTTGCTAGAGATGTTCTATAGAGAATCATTCATTCTTGCCTGGATTACAAAGTTGCATCAACATGAATTGCAATGAAAGGATCCTCAGCATGGTTACTAATCTGGAAGTTAGCCCTGCCATCACCAGCTACCTCCACGTGTAATCCTGTACAGTGGTCGTCTTCCTTTTGACCAGAAATAACATCACAGTAAGTGCCATTGGGAAGACCAGTTTGCAAGTTTACATTCAAGTACCTATGAAAAACAGATGGAAATGGAGTAAGTTTAATTTGAACTCTATTTCTTTTTTGTTATAAAGCTTCATGTTTGACCTGCCTGGTGGCTTTGGGGACAATGTTCAGCACCACAATACCTGATGCTTGGGGTTTACTGAGTACTCTTGGGTTTGCTCTTTCACTCCCTGATGCAGCAGAGTCTGGGTGTGTTAGAGAGGGACAAACATCAGCCTACAATAAATACTTAGGCCATTGTATATGTTGTCTATATGGCCTCAAAGGGCCCATGCAGCCCTGCTAGACATAAAGAAAGAAGGTTCCAATTTGAAATGCCAGCAGGCCTTGCATGTGTAGGAATGAGTAAGCAAAGGCTACTCCATCTATTCCCATTCCCAAAGGCTTCATATATTTATAATTCAGTATAGAGGCTGGCGAAAATAAATTATTCAGACTCATTTTTCATTTGACCTGGACATTTAAAGAATTAGCTTTTGACTATCTGTAGAATGATCCCACTTTCGAAAGGGCAAAAATTAATTAAAATTGAAGCCCCATTTCATCTGGGATAGACATGAGGACAAATGTTAATCTCCTGAAGTATCTTTCAGACAGACAGTCTCTCACGCATGCAGTTCTATCTGACAGCTGCTGTTCCTTTTGTGTGAAGAGGAGACTATCCACAGGGTAATTTACACATGAAAGACTCAATTCTATTCTACTTGCTTTCACCTTTTACTCCAGGCTCGACCTCTATTCTCCACAGTCCAGTAACATCCAGGGTCTGGCATCCCCGTGGATGCTCCTTGGTTGGAGCCCTTGCCGTGCTCAGACCCTCTTCCCCCACCCTTCCAGAGCTTCTGGAGCACCACAAATAGCTCATCTGGAGTGCTTAAGCTCAGGGAGGGAGCAGTAAGAGCAGAGATAGGGGATGCTTGGGGGAAGATACAGGGTGGCTCCGGAGCCCTGCGGGGACCAGGAATGAAACCCCATTGCCAGCAGCAGGACCAGCATTGACCAAGCTGGAACTGGGGTGAGGAGTGCTTAGGGGAGGAGGCAGGGTGGGTGCAGAGCCCAGGGATTGGGGGCTAGGAGCACAGCCTGATGGCCGTGGGACTCAGTGAGCTCCCACAGGGCTGCGCTCCCGGGGCTCCACAGACATCCTGCCTCTTATACCAAGCATCTTCTCAGTGCCTGCTCTGCCAATGCTGGTCCCTCTGCTGCTGCCGGAGTGGAGCCCTGCAGCTGGCAGCAGCAGAGGGGCTGGCACTGACCTTCCCTCATCCAGCAAGTTCCCTGGTTTTTGGCCAGTCAGGTCCCAAGGGTTTTGGAACAGGAAGGGATAACCAGTACTATAAATATGCCCTGTATCATGTGGGCATAATGTCCATGGACAGTCAATGGGGACTGCCAATACACATCAGAAGACAGAATTAGACTCCAGAGAGAAAGACAAGAGAAAAAGCATGAAGACAGATGTGCAGTTATCTGCAGGGACAGGGAGTAACATTGTTTCTGAAGCTTTTCACCTCACCCTCTTACCAGTTGTCATTATTAAAGATGATGAAACCTCTATTACCACGCCCAAAAGCCACTTGGTTGCTGTCATTGTCCCACCAGTTTGTGAAAGGCTGGTCATCAACCACATTACGGAAGATAACCATGTTCCTGAAAATACAACCAATAGACATGCCTTTAATTAAAATATCCCCACATCAGGGGAAGAATACATTGGAAATTGCCATATGCAGTGTCCTACTTTATTTGACGCCATCTGTGTTCACAGATCCAGTCGTTGCCACAAGTAGTGTCCGGATTAATTGTAACAGGTTTAATTGATCCATCCTCATAGCTTGGTGGTCCCACCCAATCATTAATGTCCTTGTTATTAAAAACAAAGTTATACAGATTAATCATTCTATCTGGGGAGAGGGCTCAATGGAGCACACAAGCTGACATAGAGTTAATAGCCTAATGGCTTACAGACTTATTCTCGTTGACCATAAACCTACCTTTCCATTCTGAAAAAATCTTGGCCAACGATAACTTGACATTACACGTGTCAATCCATAAGGATGTGCAAGCATAAAACCAAGTGCCATTTTGTACAATCTGTAAACCAAAGAGTAATGATATACATGAAAATAACATTGACTTGGGGGAGAGTAGTGAGGGGAGAAGAAGGGAGGAAGGAAGGGAACTCTGTTGGCTGTATAAAGCTACCTGGAATCCCAGAAGGTTAGAACAGAAGCTCCCCCAGCACCATGTCCCCTCTGGGTATCATGATTATCCACAAAGACAAGAGCTCTGTCAGAGGGCATGAAACCCCAGCCTTCTCCCCAGTTCCTAGTCAAACAATCAAATACATTGGAATTAGTATTTCAAATATTGCAGGAATCTAACGATTAATTCAAATAATAGCGATATTACTTTAAATAGGCCATCTTTTCTCCATTCCATTTGCGGAGTACTGTACCCAGTTTGGCACCGTATTTGAATTCAGTCACTCGGCCATTTCCAAAATATTCACTGCTCTTGATTGGCTCTTCACCCAAGTCAATTACCTAGTTCAAATAAGAAAAGCCCTTATTATAGTCCAATCAGCTGGATAAAACATGAAATCATAGCCCTATATGCAGCCACCCTGCCTCTTATACCAAATACCTTCTCAGTCCCTGCTCTGTGAATGCCAGCCCCACCAGATGCTTTTGGGGAAGAAAAACACAAACAAACAGTTGAACATATTAGAGCAGAAATAAGTTGGGTTACTTGCTAAATCCCATTTATTGCTTCCTAAAGCATCCCAAATTCAGGTGCATTTTAAAAGCATTTAAAAACCTCTTGTCCCTGGCTCCATCCCCCAGTACATCATGACCACGAAGAGATTAGTAATGAACTACATGACCCAGTTCCAATCAAACTGACAATAAAAAGAATCAAATGACTTTAAAGGGTCATTGCTGAGAGATTCAGGTCCAAAATATTAATTCACATTTAAAAGTTTAAATTGGGAAAGATTGTCTTATAGTTTAAAAACAGTCATTTACATATAAAAGTCAGGTAACAATATTGCAGAGATTTGGGGGGAAATCTTACAAAGTAATTTACCTTTTTAGGGAATGCTTTTTATTCTTTCTTTTTTGGTGCTGAAGCTACAAAATAAAATTCAGAGCTCTCTGACATATTTGTAATGATTATGGCAATGATGAAGTTGGGGTGGAAGCACAAAAAGGAAGCAAAACAAAAGAAAATGCATGAAAGAATTATGTACACGTTTTAAAGTTTTTCACTGAAAATGTCAACTAGACTTGCAAACGTAAAGCTCTAGTAGCAAAATTGGAAACTGGGGGCTGGTGTGTGAAGTACTAAAGGCTAGAATCCACAAGAACTAAAACTTTTGAGGCCTGATTCTCCATTATTTTTAGCTTTGCGTGATCAGTTAGGGTATGTCTACACTACCACCCTAGTTCGAACTAGGGTGGTTAATGTAGGTAACCAGAGTTGCAAATGAAACCCGGGATTTGAATTTCCCGGGCTTCATTTGCATATTGCCAGGCGCCGCCATTTTTAAATGTCCGCTAGTTCGGACTCCGTGCCCGCGGCTACACGCGACACGGACTAGGTAGTTCGGATTAGGCTTCCGAACTACAGGTACACTTCGTTACCCTAAGACAGCTACAATATGTATGCATGTGTAATACCAAGAATAAAATCCTGACCACTAGAAGTCAATGGGAGTGTTGACATTGAAGGCAATGAACCAGGAGTTTACCTCAGGTATTTAGACATTATTGGATTGCAAACAAAAGGATTCATTTGGGCCCGTACAAATTAGAAACATGAACATTTTGACATTAGATATTTTTGCGTTAATTTGTAGATAATTCAATCAAGATGCTTAGCACTCTGGTCCTCATCCAACAAAACACTAACACACATGCAGGATCAAGTACATACATTATTTGCATGAAATAACCTTTTTCTCTGCAGAGCAGGCCTGGGCAAAATATGGCCTGCAGGCTGGATCCAGCCTGCCAGGCTACTGGATCCGGCCCATGGAGGCAGTGGGAAGCCCGAGGCAGGTGATGGGCTTCCTTTCTGTTTCAAAACTGGAGGGGAGGGGGGAAGTTTCAGGAGCCTTCCTGACCCCAGCACAATCCCATTGGCTAGTTTCTGGCCAGAATCCAACAAATGGGAGCTGCTTGTTTGAATAACAGGCAGCCAAGAAGAACCACTCCCCCTCTCCTTGGCTCAGTTATTCACAGAAGCACATGGCTAGGCAAGCAGACAGGCTGGCTGACGAGGAAACGTTTTAAGCTCTGCAAGCCTTGGCTCTGCAGGCAGGTAGGCTGGTTTGGCTGCTGGCTGGTAGAGTCTCTTGGCCACAGCCTGCCTCTGGAACCCCAACCCCTCCCTGCCCCAACCCTCTGTCCCCCCCACTCAACACACCCAAAACCTCTTTCCCCTTCTTGCAGTCATACCTACTGTCTGATCTGGCACCCCAATCTCCTGCCCCAGATCACAATCCCCTCCTACCCTAGGTCACATCCTAAACTCCTGCACTCCAGTCCCCTGCTAAACTCCCTCCCAGATTTCAGTCTCCCTCCTGCTCCCCTCTGCACCCAACCTCCTTCCCAGACCCTGCACTTCCTCCATTAATATCATGGAAGTGTGTGGCTCTTGATTACGTTCCAAAATCTTGGAGTGACACCCCGTTCTCCCCCCGTTAAAAATTATTGCCCACTCCTGCTGTAGAGGGAAACTAAGAAAACTAGATTACCTCCTGGTAAATGAAAGGTCTTGATCCTTCGGCAAACCACTGTTCAGTTAGATTTTTCAGTTTGTCTAAAATTGCTGTCATGTCCCCAGGCCACATGTGCTTGGAAGCATCAATTCTGAAGCCTGCCACGCCGATATCAATAAGATTGTTCATGTATTCCGCAATTTTTGAGCGCACATAGTCCTTCTCCAGGGCGAGATCGAGAAGACTGACAAGTTGACAGTCACGGACCTGTTTAAAAAATTAGCTGGGACATTGATTTAAGACAATTTTCATCCCAGGTGGTAAATGAAGTATCCTGGACACAGTTCCTGCAAAGCCATTGTTGGGAAAAAAAAAAAAAAAAACAACCAACCCGGCACAGAATAAGAGGAATTTCGTAGGGAAGCCCCAGAAATTTTTTCCATGGTACACACTGTCAGTCCCTATGGAGCCATGGTGCCAGTACCTTTCCCATGCCATGCTGCTGGTGCCAGGACCTTGTCTGTGTCATGAGCAGCCCCTGTCTTTCAGCCTAGCTTACTCAGGTGCTATGTCACTACCCATTCCTGAGAAGGAACACAGGCTGCTGTAAGTGGGATGAGGAAGGGTAGGCCCCAGTGTAGGAGCTAGCCCTATGACACCAGCAAAGAGGATTAGTGATGGGTCATTAGTGTAATGCATTCAGGTTTGGTCCCATAGCCCTGCCGTCATGACACAGGGAGCATGGGGCCAAATGTGAGTAGCACTGTGATGAGGGTGCACCAGTTTGCAATATCACTCAATTTTGGTCCCTCTACAGCAGGGACACATGTGTGGCCAGTGGACCAGCCAGCCCTCCTCATTGTTGTCACTACCAATGGTACACAATGTGCATAACATACATATGGCTGCAAGCGACATTGGGATTACATAGTCTATATAGATTATACTAATATAGGGCCTGATCCTCTACTACCATGTATAGTTGTTTAGATTAGGACAAAGACTGATTGCATTTTACACCCAGTCTGGCTCAGTATAAGTTATTTAGGAAGAAGCCAGCTAAGAATGAGGGCTATTATTTCCACCAATAATAACTGAAATGTGTTTAATATTTGATGTTTCCATGTCTATAAAGCTTGAACTTTTTTAATCCCAATGTGGACAATCATTAAAAAATTATCTGACCTTTCCTATAATTTCCCACAATTCTGAGACTTTAAAATGAATAAAAATATTAAGAAGTACTTAAAATGCACAATTTTTGCAACAGTGAAGACTTAAATGGATACAAATTATAAAAGGGCTAAATAAACAATATTATACAAAATAAAAATCTATTTCTGCCAAGCTTACTCATGTGATTTTAATACAATTAGAAGAAGTAATCTGGTTTAATATGCATTTTTTTACTTCAGTTCTAATATTCAGACAAAAATATTTCTCTTCAAGATCAACTACATGCCACTTTACTCTTAGCTTGAGTGTATGTGAGATTTTATTAGAGCTGAATTCATAATGCAAATGTTTGCCACAGATTTCATTTCACAATTTTAAACAAATTCACATCGACTGTGGTCACGACCATTTTGCTGACATGAATTTTTAATTAAATAGTATTTTTAAAGCAGTATTTTAAAATATTATCATACAAAAAATAGTTTCCTATGGCAAACCTAATATATTTCAGAGAGGCGACTTGTAATCAAATGTTTTATCTCTGCATTACAGTGAAGATGTATAATATGAAACTTTTGCACCTTTCATCCTAAAGGATGCCCAGTTGCTTAATGATTTTTACAATTTCCCTCTCTTTTCCTTCCCTTCCTCCAGCCCTCAAGACAGGGACAAAAGGAGAGAAAAAGAGAGGGAGAGAGAGATAGGAATCCTTTCATGTACCATTGAAAAAGGGTGAAAGATGCTGTTTAGCAATGCACAGCATTACTACCTAACTATTCAGGGCAAGGGGTGAAGAATATTGCTTTCAAATGAAGCCGCCCTGGGAATTAAAGCAAGGAGACCGCATAATGGGATTTGGTGAATACAGCTGACCTTAGACCCTGCACTGGGAAAAGAAGCAATCAAATACCTACTAATCAGAAGAGGTCAAAAGCTCAGTTGTGTGGCTCACCCATAACAAGCACAAGGAAATGTGCTATCTACTGAATCACAGATTTTGTATCACTCTGGGATTTCCATCTGTATTTCTAGATCAGCCTGGGTAGTGGGTGTCAATGGCAGGGGTATGGCCCCACCTATGCTTCACCCCCAGGCCAGGCCCCACTTCTGTGTGCTTTTCACAGAGTTCTGCACTGACTGAGGCTGGCTAGCTGACCTCCCACAGGGACTCTGGTGCTGGGGCTGTGCTGCCAGTCCAGTGCTTGGTGCTCTGGGGCTTGCTTCCTGGTGCACCAGGGATGGGGGCCCTGTTGCCACACTGCCTAGCGTCTCAGAGCACTGGGTCTGGGAACTCTGTGGCTGCACTCAGGGGTGGATATAGGGCAGGGCGAGTGGGGTGGCTGCCCCGGGTCCCACGCTTCAAGAAGCCCCGCGCATGCGCCGTGTCAAAGGGGGGGGCCTGCAAAATTGTGCTGCCTTGGGCCCCGCAAAATCCTTATCTGCTCCTGGCTGCACTGCCCAGAGGTGTTGTGGCCATATCATTCAGAGCACTAAGGCTGGGGCCTCACCCCATGGCCACTCTGCAGGAAGGCCAGAGGCTATAGTGGTGATGTTCTGGGTTCCTGGGAAGAATCAGGCAGGGCCTCACACAGAAGTGAAGGAGGAAGAATGGCTAGTCTCCCCCAGTGGGCAGGCCAGTGGGTAGCCAGGCTGATCAGACTCAGTCCTGATTAGCTTTTAAGAAGTAACAATATCCTTTGAAATGACCAGCATGGCCTTCATTTAGCAAGGTACTTAAACACATTCCTAACTTTAATTGTAAGAACTTAAAAAACAAAGAATAGTCTTGCAGCACCTTACAAAAAATGTATATGGTATCATGAGCCTTCATGGGCACAACCCACTTCAGATTTAATTGTAAGAGTTATTCCACTGATTTGATAGATCAACATGCTTAAAGATCCTTGCTGAACTGTAGTCTATTGGTTATATAATTCTCACCACTCCTAGTAGCTAATTAATGCAGAGACTATGTGTGAAATATTGCTAAAGCTGGGCAAGAATTTGCTATGGAACATGTTTTTCAAGCAAAAAAAAAAGTTTTACCAAATTTGTTTGGATGGGGTGGATTCGTGGAGAGAAATTCCTAAAATTTCAAAACTTAATTTTGACTTTAAAAAAAAATCAGTATTTTGGTACTTTTAGTTTCAAAATGTCCCTTAAATCTATTTTTTTAAGTTTAAAAGCTTAACATGGAAATTATTTTATATTATTTTTAAATTGCCTATGAACTGAGAAATCGGTTATTCACCAATCCCTAAGTTTTTCCTAATCTGAGGTATTATATGTGACAGCAAAGCCCACTAAAGAAGAGGATGTGAGTAAGAACTGAAAGGGAAAATATATTTTACAATTGTTTACCTGAGTCACATCATGGTAATTTTCAATGCCTCCACTTCCAGTTTTACATTTACCATCATTAAAGTCCCACGCTGAGTATGGCACAGCAGGAAAATCTCTGGTCCCTGAATTGAAATAGCTTCCACAAGTAGAACTATTACCAGAGCCAGCACCAGATCCACACATGTGATTAATTACAGCATCCACATAAACATGAACCTAGAAAGCAGTGTTTACATTTCAGTTTAATGAAGCTAGTACCTGTGTGCCATTAAATGAATAACACTTATTCTCTCATTCCCTTTTGACTCCCCATTTTTTTCTAGAGCTTTTTCATATTTTTCTAAGTATCCAGAAGTTAGGTCGCCAACCAATCATCCGCACCACCTTTGGAACACCAGACTGCTTGGGAAAAAAAAAACCTGTATCATCTTTCTTTTTAACTCTCACCTCCCCATATCTTCACTCCTAAGTGACCTGATTTTGAGTGCTAATGATCATATACCATCAGTAATGCAGCAGTCAAGAGCATATGAAGTAAAATGATAAATGTAGGCATCTATCTTAAGTTCCTCTATCGCCAAATAATAGTTACTCTGATTTTTGCTAATTGAAAGTTTTGCAATTATACTCAATTTTAAAAATTGGCACCTGCTGGAAAGCAAATATTTCTTCTGATTACAAACTTAAAAAAAAAACAACAACATAGACCCCAACAACCCAAACCCAATTTTTGCTGGGATTTTCTTTAACAATACTTTCTTGTGTTGAGCTATTGCTACATGATGCAGCTTTTGGTTGACATAGTCCTCCATTGTGAACAAGTGAAACATGTCCTGTGCTATGGCAAGTTATCTCCTTGGCTTTAATAAAGAATATAAACTTTTTTCATTGGAACTAGGATAGAGGGCTACCTGAAATCTCTTTCACCTCCCCACACTGTTTATACAAGAGGAATTTCAAAGTCTCTTACTCCAACATTGTTGCATCTGGTCACCATGTCTTTAAATTCATGCTCATATCCAGATCGTGTACATAGATTGTAGCTGATTGGCTGGTATCGTTCCCACCAGGGCCTCCATGGGTTAGTAATTATAATATTTTCATTTGGAGGAGATATCTGTGAACAAAGTGATGTCATTTGAAAATAAAATCATCATTACTTATGTACGAGTTCAAAGTTATAAAGACAGAGGCCTGGTGAACATTCCATCTAATCTTTTTCATCTATGTGTGGATTTTTTCTATCTATATGAGGAATGAATTTTGTGTACATCAAGGCCTGTATGAATGTGCACCACCTGTAGAAACAAAAAGCCTTGCTGTAGACCTTTGCTAATTAGCTGAGTGGCATATGAATTTCTCCTGAGCAGCTGCACAAACGCCCAGGTTACAGGGAACACTGGCCCTGACCCTCTGCAGCAAGTAGCTGGCTATACCAGAACCCAGTTCAGGGAGATACTCAACACTATTATCTCCCTTTGAAATCAATAAGAGATGAAGCACCTCAGCATCTCAGAGGTAGTCCTTACAGACAGAAACTCACTGGGAGATCAGGCTCCTGAGATAACTTATATGTAAGTGTGTAATGAAGCTAGCATATGAAATAGACATAGCTTCATGCAGCATGTTGAGAAATGGTATGTATCAAATTGTACTTCAGACCCATACTCAGGGGCTATGTGAAGGACACAAACATTCCCACAGTCCTTCAAGGCCCGAGGCTACTAGGGCTAGGGTTGCCAGGTGTCTTGTTTTGAACCGGATAGTCCAGTATTTGAGCTTTCTCTTTGAGAAACAAATTGAGAAAATATAAATGTCTGGTATTTTCTAAATAAGATGCAATGTAGATTGTATGTAATGTCAAGTGTGCCCAGTATTTTTGTTGAAATCATCTAGCAACCCTAAAGGCAGGGGCTGTGCACTGCGCCAGCCTCCTTCCCCTGTGCGCTGGCCAGCCAGGGAAGGCTGGGGCTGATTCCCCCTTTCTCACCCATGAGTAAGGCCAGACCCCAAAGGGATGGGGGCAGCCACCAGCCCCTCCCAAAGCTCACTCCCCTCCCCACCAAAATTCCTGCATATGGGCTAGGAATTGTCACTTTAACAGGCTGAGCTGCATTTTAGACCCCTTTTAGGCCTTCTTGATACCTCTCTGGCAACAAGTTTTATGGCCCTCATCCCTCTCCCCGTGGAACCACACAATCCTACAACTCCTAGAATGAGGCTCTGGGCTGCAGGCCCCGTTTACCAACAGAGATATGACAGGCTCAACTGTATTTGTCAGCGGGCCTGCCAGCCCTTTTTATCTAAGAGCCTATGACCACATGTTGATTAAAGGCACTACAAAACAGTTTCTTCAAAATTAAGTATTATGTATTCACCCAACGATACACAATACTCTGAGAAGAGAGTTAAAAAGTGAGGGGCCTGTATACATGTTCATGTGTCTTACCTCAACTTTATTCAAGTTTCATAGAGTCCAACCCCCCCATAATCCCAGGAAGGGAGAGGCAGACAGCATATTTTCATCTTATCTTTGTCAAAGTTAGCTCCAGCCAAAGCTGCTTATTCATCTCTCCCCCACCCCCTTTTCCTATGCGGGAAGGGGGAGTGTCAGTCTTTGCCATAGTGTTCCTTTGATCCCAGGGTCAGGAAAAATAAATGTACTAGCTCAACGCGAGTCAGACAGGTGGGTACTTCCCAATTAAATCTCACTCCATTGTTTCCCTAAGGAACCTTGGTAGCTCTGTGGAAACCTTTATCTCTATCATTTCTTCTTTGTTCTCCTAAACATTCTCCTTCAATTAAATTTGGTGTACTCAAAATATCAGGCTCATAAACTGTAGTGCATATTAATAAAAAATACAGGTATCTCCCTTATTTCCACATTAATTCATAAAGATTCAAGTGTTATTTTGCATTTAGAAGAATTAATATTTTAATTACACCCTTTGGAGTGACTAAATAAATGTACACCATCACGATGGACTGGTCTCATTCTTACTGTTTTAGCATTTAGCATGTCCATTACCAATTTCTATTTAGTTTGAACTTGGTTTCTGTCCTATGTGACTTGGATTTTTACTTTGGTAAATAAAATATGCTGGTTATTAAGCAATTTCACTATATATTAACATTAGAGGCTACATACCTGAACTCCACCAAATCCATTGGGTGCTAAATACCGTTCACATTCAAGAGCAATGTCAGCCCAACACCATTCAAATAAGTGGACAATAGACGTCCTCCCAGGTTTTGTATTTGGGTTGTACTGGGCCCAGCAAAATGAAATGACAGCTAGCAGAAGAAAGGCCTTCATGGTTCTTTTAATAATAGCTTGTGTTCTTCTCCCTGGATTTTTATACTCATGCAAGAGGGTAAAGTACATGGTACAAATTACAGATTTGAAAAGGCCAACTATTTTTAGCATGCATTTTGTTTATCTTGCTGTTGTTTTGACTGTTTCAGAATTGCTTATCAGATGAAGCTATACCACAATCTCTCATGATAACTTCAATAATGTAACAAGTTAAGGTTCAGTCCTCAACTACACAAAGATGTTGTGCTGGTATATAACTGTATTGATTGCTAGAGTGAGCTTTTTACAGCTATATTTATGCTGATACTATCCCTACTATGGACACAGAGTGACCTTATAGTGTAGCTTTTAACTATACTTATGTTTGTATTTAGATAAAGACTTCAGTGTTTTGGTTTTGGGGTTAATTCTGTCAACAAATTCAATAGTTCAAAGGACTGTGATGTGTGTGTATGGGGGTACAAATACTTACTGTCAAAACCAGACGAACACAGCATCAGAGAAAGTAACTAAAGTCTAAGGTTTCAGGGGGTATGTCTACACTACAAAGTTAATTCGAACTAACGGACGTTAGTTCGAATTAACTTTGATAGGCGCTACACTAGCGCTCCGCTAGTTCGAACTTAATTCGAACTAGCGGAGCGCTTAGTTCGAACTAGGTAAACCTCATTCTACGAGGACTAAGCCTAGTTCGAACTTACTAGTTCGAATTAAGGGGTGTGTAGCCCCTTAATTCGAACTAGTGGGAGGCTAGTCCTCCCCAGCTTTCCCTGGTGGCAACTATGTGACCCTGAGCCCTGAGCCCCCCGACCCTGAGCCCTGAGCTTACAATGGCCGTCCTGGGTCAGACCAAAGGTCCATCTAGCCCAGTAGCCTGTCTGCCGACAGCGGCCAACCCTAGGGA